TATATATAATGAAAATGTCTCAGTTTTGTTGCGAATCACATGATCTTATTACCAAAGATGCTTCTTTTTAGTTAGATTCCTCATTTTTAAATTGTTTGTGTTTACCTTAATTAGAAGCTAAGCTACTTTATTAATCTAGAAATTTCTCTCTGTTTTTTTTTTGTTTTGTTTTGGGTACTCAAAGTACATGTAGACATTTCTCCAAGTGATATATTGGATCATATGCTATTCTTCTGGGAAATATCCATCAACCCCTCTGAACAGCAGAATTAAGCTTGCAGTTGCAGATTTGCAGATCCCCTGCTTATTCTAATTTGCTTGTCCTAATTTTGGTACCAGTGTCCAACGTTCTCCGATTCCTTTTGCTAAACCTGCGGCAGGTACACTATCTATCTAGATCTTCAATTTTAGATTTCTTGCTTTCATTGATTGCTAGCTCAGTTTTTTCATTTTTTTTAGCCGAATTGCTACTTCATTAGTAAACATGTATTCCTGTGGCTTCGTGTTTTTGAATTTCTTTGTATGGGAGTTCTGTTGAGTTTTGGTGCCAAAGCTGCAATATTTTGGCAGCAAATGATGATGCAAATGAAATGCAGATGAAGGCTGCACCTTTAACAGCGAAGAAGATGGAAATTTGATAGTAAAATTTGTTTGCCAGATGATGGCAATTCAAAAGGGGGCGAATTGGTTTTTAAACACAATTAAAAGAACACATATTTATAGCACACCACATATCTAAGTTTGCTGGTAACACATATTTAAAGTAGATTACAAGTATTGGAATTTGATTTGAAGTAGAAGAAAATCTCATATCTATTTGAATTTATTTAATATAATTCTCATAGAGACCCATATTTTTTTGAAATTTAAGTTGGAATCTAATTTCGTAGCTAAATCTCAAAAGAACTTCAATTTTTCATGAAATTAAGGGCATAATCCCAACAATTTGTAAGTTGATCTTAACATTTTTTTATCAGCAAAAAATAATTTAATGAGGGAGTACAAGCCTACAAGGGTATTCCAACCCTTTACAATCTTGATGTCAAATTCAAGAGCATATAACAACATTAAAAGTTTGAGGGCTTAGCCATTAATTTACCCTTTTTATCTAAATTGAAACAGAAAAAGGCCTTAGTATCCTTTTAAAAAAAAAAAGCCTTAGTATTATTTATATAATTATCCAATTACTCAAAGAAAACAGTTGATTTATTTACAATTAAATTATTTTATGGTTCAAAAATTTGAAAATTCGAGTTTATGAGTATAAATTTAATTAAAAATTCAAAAGGCATTGAATGAAAATTACTTAGTTAGCCATTACCCATCACACAAATGCTAAGAATAAGGCTGTTGTATATTTTTATGAAAAGGATATTGGGCGAAGTGAAAGTAAAATATTATTTAAAGGACATGTCTGAGAATTACACAATCCAACTCTTACCCATCCCAGTGTCATTTCAATTGATCCATGATATATTATACATGATAGGATGCATGTGCCTACTTAGAGACATGGTTAAAAACTTTATTTTATTTTATTTTTTGTTTTTTGAGGCATTGAGTTCGAATCTTGGTTGGGAAGGAGTGGATTATCCTTGTTACATTCTAATACACATGGTGTTTCATTTTACAGGGCCTTTTTCAATGGAGCTTCTAGTAGAGCCTATCATGGAATTGGTAAAGTGTTTGGGGAGGTCAACCTGCACCAATCTAGGTTATCACTTAAATTTTGATGAAGCTGAAAGTGAATTGAGAAGAGAATTGCAAGTTCTAATCTCTCGAAAAGAGGATATAAATTTAAGCATACAGTCTGAGGCTGGTAGGGGAAATGAAGTAAAACATGAAGTGCAATGCTGGCTTAAACTTGTACAAGAAACCAGTAATGAAGTGCAAGCCATTCAAGAAAAGATTCAGAGAGTTAAGTGGTACTCAAAGGGTCGTCTTGGAAAACGTGTTTGTAAGAAAATTGCAGTGGTGAAGAGAATCTATGAACAAGGGCGATTTCCTGATGGTTTCACATTAACAATTGACAGACCTCGACGAGGAATCAAACTGCCAACTGAGAATGTAGTGGGTGAAGATTCTGCAAAAGAAAAAATTTGGGGATACTTGATGGGCAATGAGGCCAGAAAGATTGGAGTTTGTGGGGTTGGTGGGGTTGGGAAGACTACCATTATGAAGTATATTAATAATGAATTGTTAAGTGTGACCAATTTTGATATGGTGATTTGGGTCACTGTGTCCTATCCACTCAATGTTATCAACTTACAAAAAAATATTGCTCATGCTGTGGATGATAAAGAGAGACTCCTAGAAGCGGAGGAGGATGAAGTGAAGCGGGCAGCTACTTTGATAAGCATTATGGAAGGAGTAGGAAGATACGTGCTTATCCTAGATGATGTCTGGGAAGTGTTTTCTCTGATTGAAGTGGGAATTCCAGAACCAACAATTCAGAATGGAAGGAAAATAGTCATCACTAGTAGATCCATTGATTTGTGCCAAAAAATGGACTGTGAGATAGTCAAAGTGGAGCCTCTTTCATTTCAAGAGTCTTTTAACTTATTCTTAGATAAAGTTGGGCAGTATGTTCTGCAAATACCAGATTTAGAAGGAATCTTCAAGCTCATCGTGGAGGAGTGTGGTGGTTTACCACTAGCCATTGTTGTAATAGCAGAGAGTATGAAGGGAGAGGATGATGTTCATGTGTGGAAGAATGCTTTAACTGAACTACAAGAAGGGGTAAAGAGCGTGACTGGGTCAGATCAAAAGATATTTAAGAGGTTAAGGTTTAGTTATGATCGTTTGAATAATTTTGAAATCCAAAGCTGTTTTCTTTATTGCTCCTTGTTTCCTGAAGATTATCCATTTGAGAGAGAAGAGTTGGTAGAAGGGTGGATTGATGAAGGACTAATTGATGTGTTGCCTAGTAGAAAAGCAGCTTATGAAAGGGGTCATGCCTTTTTAAATATGCTAGTAAAGAAGTGCTTGTTAGAGAAAACTGTTACTCGGCATGGTGATGATGTTTTTAAGATGCATGATGTAATGAGAGACATGGCCATACAAAGCATTGATCCTGAATTTGGTTATATGGTAAAAGCTAGTATGAAGTTGACAGAGGTGCCAGAAGAGCATTGGTGGGGAAATGATCTTAAGAAGGTGTCTCTAGCAGGGAATAACATATCAAAAATTCCCCCTGGGTTGTCCCCAAAGTGTCCAACTCTTTCAACTTTGATATTGTCAAATAATGATAATTTGTCAGAGATCCCAGAATCCTTCTTTGAAGGTATGCCTGAACTAAAAGTTCTTGATCTTTCTGAAACTGGCATTGAAGCTTTACCTAATTCCATCTCAAACTTGGAGAAGCTCTCTTCCATGAGGTTAAGATGGTGTGAGAGGTTAAGGTATTTGCCTTCTTTGGCAAAGCTTAGGGCATTAAAGAAGTTGGATCTGGTTGGTTCTGGGATTAAGGTGGTCCCTCAAGGCATGGAGAAATTGACTAGTTTGGAATATCTTGATTTAGGTTATAATCTGGAAGAGAGTCTAGAGAGTCCAGTGGGAATGTTATCAAACCTTTCCAAGCTCCAATACTTGTCAGTTTATGAAGGATTGGAGATAAAAGGAGAAGAGGTTGCGGGATTGAAGAAGTTAGAGACCTTGGAATGTGAATTCGATGACATACAGGGCTACAATCATTTTGTCAATTCTCAAGATTTTCGAATTCTTACTGACTACGGGATTGCAGTAGGACCATT